GGGGGGGTGGTGGTGCCTGGCTCGAGAAGGCCTTGCACGCTGGGGTAGACCGGGGTCCACTCGGGTCACCTTGGCCTGCAGTGTACGAGCCTTTACTTCTGGAAGTAGGAGGCTTATGGCAGACGTGTGTGTAGGGAGAACAAACCGGTGGACTCCAACTCTCTGGCTCAACATGCGGGTTCCAGGATGGCCAGATCCTTTTTGGCTGAATTAAGACATTATTTACAGCCCACAGTCTGCAGGGATTGCAAACTCGTGGCCCTTAGGTTGAATTTGGCCTGTAGAGATGTTTAATTTTCTAGCACAAGGTTTAAATATTTTTCATTTGATTCCAGTTGGCGACAGTCCCTTTCCCTCCCTGTTGTGTGCCTCCCATCCACTTCACTCATTTTCATGAACTGCCTGACCTCTGAGGAATTTGAGTTTGCCAACCCCTTGCCAGCTACCAGCACCTGATATCCATTTTTAGATGCCTAAACCAGGTTCACCATCTGGCTTGTGAAGAGGTTTATTCCTCGTTCCCGGGTGCCAAGCCACACACCTGGTTTTCTGAGCTTGATTTTCTGCTCAGAGACCAGTGTTCTCATCTGCAGGGGTCACTTTAAGTGCATTCCAGGCACAAGCCCAGAAGTGACAACGGAAGATGCCAGCCCTGTGTCAGACTGAATTCCTGACTGTGAGTGCCTGTGTGAGCACACACAGCTCATGGGCTCCACCCTCAGGACAGGGACAGAGCCATTTCCCCAGTGCCCAGTGTCTCCCAGGCATCCAGCACTTGCCTCCATTCATTTCACTTGAAACTGTCCTCAAGGATTCCTTACTAGCCCCAATTTATGGATGAGAGAATGGAGGCCAGAGGGGCAGAGTTACCTGCCCTAGGTCACATTGCTGGGAAGTGGCAAAGGCCACATCCAGCCCCGAGCCTGACTCTGAAGCCCAGTTCCTTTGGAATTTTCCAAAAGGGACTTGCTCTGAGGGGAGACAAACAAAACCCACCAACAACAGGAAAATGTGGAGGCAGCAGAGTGTAGATAACAGATGCTTGTGCAATTTCATGGAGACTGCAAGTGAGATTGTGTGTGTGGGGGGGTGTTGAGTGTGCACACAGGTGTATCTGTTCACACGTGTACATGGAGGTTGCCTACACGTGTGCATTTACTCATTCGACAGTGTGTGTTGCTCACCTGCTCTGTTCTTAGAAGTAAGGGGCTGCAGGGAACAGCCCTGCAGGTCACTGCCCTGGCAGAACTCATGTCCATGGGTCAGCAAATATATGGATTAAGATAATTTGGGGTTTTATGGAGAACATAAAACAGCAATGTGATAGAATGTGACACAGTAAGGGTGGTGACCAGCATTCAGTTGGGTGGTCAGGTCAAGCATCTAAGGAGGTGAGGTAGAGCTGAAACCTGGATGAAAAGGAGGTGGCCTGGGAAATCTGGGGAGGGCGAGCATCACAGCACAGGAAGAGCCCTGCTGCGTCTTTGTGGACACAGTGTGTGTGGTTGGCGAGGCCACGCCTGGCCAGGCCTCTGAGATCTGTGGGTCCAGCCCCACCCCACCTGGTTCACACCTTCCTTTCCTTCGCCTGCTTCTTTCCTTCACCTGGACATCTGCCTGCAACTCTGCTTGTTGAAATCCTTCCCTCTTCTGAGCTTCCCCTAGTTCTCTAACCAGAGCTGACTTCTCCTTGTCACCCCCATCCGCTCAGCTGTGTACACGGAGACCCCCTCCTCACACATGTCAGCATTCTGTGGACCTTTGCCGGCTGGGTAACCTGAAACTGCCCTCTCTCCTGATGAAGGGATGGGGGCTGTCCCTGTGCCCCACCATTCACCCATCTCCCTCCCCGTCTTCCCACCCCCACCCTTAGTAATGTGGCTCCACAGCCTTCTCTGGAACTTTATTTTTGTTTTCTCCCTTCCCTATTTATAGCTCTCTCCCCTCCGAACCATCCCTGCTTCCATCCTGTTGCCTAGAAACCAGCTCTGGGCTGAGGCTGGGGGAAGGCCAGGCCGAGCCCAGGCAGGGGGAAGGAAGAGCTGTCACCCACTCCCCTTCTCGGTACTGCCCCCAGGTTCCCAGAAGCCCACCTGCCCTCTGCCCAGTACCCACAGGTGTTTTTTAAAGATAAAATGTGAAAAACAGCATTTTTTGTGAAGTCCTTCATGGCTTCTAAAGGGCATGATGCACATGATTGCACTCACGCCTCTCAACACCCTGCCCCACTGGAGGCCCAGACCCATTTCTTCAGATGAGGAAACTAAGGCTTTGGAAAGCATAGGTCCTATGGGTCAAGACTTCTCAGTAGAAAGTCCATGGCTCTGCACTTGTTAGCCATAGGACATTGGCCTGAAACATGGAACAGAAGATTTAAAAGCATAAATGATTCCATAATCTGTTAGTTGTAGAAGGGTAAAGATAAATATTTTGTCATGATCCTGCCACACACCAAGCCACTAGGCAGGCCCCCTACCTTGCCACTCCCCCATGCCACTTCCAATGCCCCAACCATGGCCCCACCATGGCCCTGCCGCACCCAACTGCAGCTTAACTCCAGCCCTAATGCTTACCTTCCACAGATTGGACCAAGAAGCCTAAGTTTGGTTCCTGCCTCTGTCACTTCAACTGTGTGACCTTAGATAGTTCACATAATCTCTTTGAGCTTCAGTTTCTTCAGCTCAAACGTAAGGATGATAATTTCCACTCCTAAGGATGCTATTAGTCCACTCGAGGACTAATAAGAGAATTAAATGCAATACTGATGAGAAAGTGCTTTGAAACTGTAGAATACTGTAACATGTGAGTGATCAATTAGAATAGTAAATATTGTTATTATTGTTGTTATTAGGGCCAAAAGGTGGGGCAGGGGAGCCAAAGTGGGCCCTGGGATCAGAGAGGCAGCCCCTTGCCTGTGTCCAGGCAGAAGGGTCCACTTCCCTGGCAGAATGAGGGGCATGGTCGGGGGCTGCCTGAGAGCACCTGCAGACCACTGAGGAGTAGAGGAGGACACAGAGACCCTCCTGCTCAAGTGCCCATGCTCCCTGTCCCCATCCCCGACTGCCCCGCTCCCTGTCCGCTACCCAAGGCCCATCTCTGCCTTCAAAATAGGCTTTCTGGGCAGAGTGGGGGAGAGGGCTGCCAAGGAGCAGCTGGGCCATGATTCAGCCTGAGTCACCCATCCAAATGCCAGGGTGGCCCCCAGCTGGGCCGGGGCCTACAGCTGCTGGGGGGAGGGGACCTTTGTGGGCAGCAGGCTGTGCTCATAGGTGCCTGGACGAGGGGCTCTCATGAATATCAGGGCAGTGCTGTGCGGGTCTGGGAGTGGTGCATATGAGGAGGTCAGGGTGAGGAAAATGACTCCATGGACATCAGTTACCTGCACTGACGGAGGAGGCAGGGTCTGTGTGTGTGTGTTTGTGTACACACGCACACCTGTGCACACATGGCTGTTGCGTGTATGTCTGACTAAATGAAGAGGGGCTAATAGCGTGGGCAGGAGTTTGGCTGCCAGCTTTGTCACTTTCTG